CGGGCGCGCTAGAGGGGCCGGCGGGCCGAGCGGGGGCTCCGGCCCTACGCCGTGTGCCGTGCTCCGCTCCGTGCAGCTGCCCCGCCGGGGAGAGCACCTGTCCTTCCGCGTGTGTTTCTGAGGCACGGTGGAGTCCTCAGTGTTCCCCTTCGTGGCGTGCACTCGCACAGTCGCTAGAAGTGCCGCTTTCCAATACCCGCGACCGCTGTAAGTCGGGCACCTCGTTATCCGTGGGCTAAAGCGTTGGGTGGAGTACCGGCACCGTAAGGAATGGCCGTTTCCGTCAGCAGGGGTTTGATCACCAAAGGGATTCTTGAGGCTAGGAGCATTGGGGGGGTCTCGTGCTTGGACTTCTGCACCCTGAACAGGAACGGGTCTTGAAGTGCTCGACTGCAGGGCAAATCTTAAATTGCTCCACCATCTGGAAAAGTTGCTTTAAAGGGAGTGATGTCTGGCCTTGGATAGACAAACCACTTCTGTAAACACCATCTCCATACATCTGTCTTCTGAAATAAATATTGGAACAATAAGGTGCTTCATCACAGTTAAGCAAAAAGCATCCGTGACTGTGCAGTGCGTTCCCTGCTTTTATTCCATTACAGGGAGTCAAAGCCTTTTCATCTGGTCTCCGCTGTGCTCAAGTTCTGCAAAAATGAAGGGCTTTTAGGAGAACACACGCTAGCAGCTATCCTAGATGAAATTAGCACAGTTTAAGATCTCTGCTTATGCAGAGGAATTGTATGTCAGGCATGGACAAAGAACCCTCTAGAAGCACGGAGCATGAATTTCCCACTGGATCCTTTAGGTTATCTTACCTATCAGTTCACAGGCCCCAGCAAGTACATTGGGCAGTCAGACCCTTCTGTTGTTTGTGGCACGTATTTTAGTCTTAGAGGCTAAAAGGGTTTGGTCTCATTGAAGTCTCAGGGTTCAGTGTAAGAGGTATCTGAGTGAAATGTAATGGTCCGCAATGCAACGGGAGACCAGACTAGCAACATCAGCAGTGTGACCCAGTACAAGTGGATCTGTAAAGCAGCACAATTGCTGCTGAGGACCTGGTGTCTGTACTGTATGTATTGCAGGAGGTTTCACTTCAAAATAGCTCTTCTCTGGGCCTGTGGACTGAAGACTCATTGGTGGCTGGAGCACATTAAGTGAACCCCTGGAGCACATCTTCTGGTTTGGTTTTATTCAAAAGGAGTCCAGCTTGCTTTCTGAAACTCGTGTCAAGTTATAAACCACAGCACAGTATCAGTCCAGATGATCAGGAGATTTACTTCTAAAATACACTGTTCATCTGAACAGTGCTGCTGTAGAGGCATCCTTAGTGTGCAAGTCTTGCTGGACTTGAGCGTTTTAAGTTCTCAAAGGCAAGTTACTCTGTGCGGAGCTCCAGAGCATGACTGATTACATACCTGTGCACACCCTTGTGTCTTGTGATCAGCCTCTGATAGGAAGAGTTTGGGGCTGTCTAAGCCTTAGGCAGTCTGTCCCCTACTTTTCTAACTGCACCTCCTCCTGTGACTTACAGGAACTCACTCCTTGGGTCACCTCTGTGTCCCTAATAAGGCATCACAGACATTAACACTCACTGAACATAACTTGATAACCACCATGTGCTGTTTGCCTTTTAGTCACATGTATTTAAACAGCCTCCAGGGTCACAGCATCCTCAAAACTTTTTAAAAACTGAAAAACTACCCAGGCTTTTTGGAGCCCCATTTGAACGCTCTTCAGTTCTGCTCTCCACTTTTCCATAGAAATCTCAGCAAAGCTCACAGAAAATCTTAACCTCATACAAAGAAAAACTTTCACTCAGCCTTGTAAGCCAAGGTGAGAGTCTAAATGAAGCAGAATGTATAAGCACTCTTGCTCCCCAATTGTTTTTTTCTTTCAGTCAAGAAAATCTCAAGGCAGGCTAACTAACATGCCAGGCTCAGCCAAGCTTCTTCCTGGTCCAAGGCTCTTCTTTATTACACAATTCTAGACCTTTGAAAGGAAAAGTAACTCTTTTGTGGGTGGGTTCTTTGTGCCTGTGTCCTTTCTAAAGAAGTATCTGTTGAATCTCTGGACAGTATTATAATAAGGGCTAATTAGATTGTAGGCTGCCATTAGCGTTTATGTGCTACTGTGGACTTTGTACTCCCTGTCTATTGAGAGAAAAGGAGCAAGGTCTTTTGTGACTGATTGAAATGGGTTTGTGGTGGATTTTATTTTCCTTTGGATTTGGTCTTAATTTTTTTCAGCAAAGTAAAAATGAGAAGTTTACTAATTTGCCGTTTATATTGCTATATGAATGCTATATTGGTACTTTGTAAAATGTTTACATTGCAGGTTTTTTATTAAATGCATAAATCATAGTAAGGTAGACTATAAACATGTAAAATACAATATTCAGTGCTAGCCTGTGATTTTTCAGATCCTGATGTTTAAATGATTTTTTGAATGTAAATTGTGAAAAACCTCAACTGAATTTTCATAAGTCACACAGTATAAGTTTATTTGAAAGTGGGACTTTGACACAGGTCATACTTGTCATTCAATAGAGATGAGAAACGGCTTTAGAAAGGAGAGAGAGTCCAAAGCACTGGTGTGTCTGGGATGGGAGATGTTAATAAATGCTGCCTACTACGGCGGGGGGGGGGGGGGGGGAGCAAGATGCCTAAAAATCTGTCAGAGAACTGAGTGGAAAAAAGAACTAAAAAGGTGTGTTTCCCATCCAACTGCTAATATAAAATGAGTAGCATGATGTTTTTGCTACTTGGCATCTTGGCAGAATAAAGTGTAATATCTTGGAGTCCAAGATTTAATCTTTTCTATGCAGGTTAGCAGATGAGAAAGCTTAGGAGTTTTTTGGTGGTGGAGTGGTTTTTGGATTGTTTTTTTCTTTTAAAAGGAATGACATTTGAACAGCATTGTATTTTGTGAATATCTAAGCTATTGGTAAATATTTTTTTTTGAGAGAGATGTTTTGAGACCTGTGAGGTGCCTTTTCTTAAGCAATTGCTTTAAATGCAAATGAGTTGTTTACAAGGAATTATGCCACAAGCAGTTGCCTCCAAAGCAATAATAATAAGCATAATAATGCATGCTTGAACTCATAGGAAATGGTAATACTGCCTCATCACAATGTGTTCATGGTGATGCACCTGATACTGCAATTTCTAATATTTGAGGCAGAGTGTACAAACTGTGCCAAGGTAAGTGTATTTGGATGTGTGGGAGTGTGACTCCCACATAAGCAGACATGCAAAAACGAAGCTTTCTTGTCATGAATGTAAGTGAAATTATTGAAACATTGCAAGTTAAAAATCAACACAGAATTATTGAAAAAAGCTTGCCTGTGCCTAAGAGAAGCGTTTTTATAAATGTTCTCAGTTGATATGTATATATTTAATATATAGCTCTTCGGTTGGATGAACTATCACTTGGGTAGTAACTGGTCCCACATATCAGAGGAGGATTCAACTCAGAATCTTTGGTAAAGACAGTTATCTGCTGTAACTGGGCCCATTGTTAATACTACTAATGACATTTAGGCAAATTTTTATTTCTTCATTTACTTTGAAGAGGTATAAATGATAAAAATTGAGGGATCGAGCAAAAAAGATAATAAAAATGAAAAGACCACATTTATACAGGTGTAAAGAGCAATGTGTTTAATAAGACTTCTGGAGCTACTTCTTTGTATGATGACTGATTATTGCCAATTTAGTTTCAAGTTTAGGTTTAAGAATTACAGTAATGTTACTAATTCGGCATATTTTGTACTAAGTATTCTAATATATATATATGTGTGTGTGTGTGTTTAACAATGGGAAATAGAGCTGGAGCAGAAATGACCAAGAGATAGGTGGAACAAAGTTTGGGGCAGCTGGAAATTCATTCATCCTCTCTGCAAGTTAAACTTTGGTTTGTCCTGAAAGACCATGAACTTTCTTGCTGTAAAGGAGAAACAAGCAGATAAAACTTGCTGCAGTCATCTTCCTTGTTAAGTTAGAATTTCCCAACGTGATGATTTTATAAAGAAAAAGCCTTATTGTACAAATCAGGAGTTTTGAATCTGTAAGTGAAGCAGGGACTGTGTAAGCAGATGAACTTTTCTTCACATTTGGATCAGATACATTGTGTGCAACAAAGCTGTTTCACAGCGTCCTGGTTTAACCCCAGCCGGCAACTAAGCACCACACAGCCGCTCACTCACTCCCCCCCGATGGGACGGGGGAGAGAATCGGAAGAGTAAAAGTGAGAAAACTCGTGGATTGAGGTATAGACAGTTTCATAGGTAAAGCAAAAGCCATGCGCGCAAGCAAAGCAAAACAAGGGATTCATTCATGACTTCCCATGGGCGGGCAGGCAGGTGTTCAGCCATCTCCAGGAAAGCAGGGCGCCATCACGCATAATGGTTACTTGGGAAGACAAACGCTGTAACTCTGAATGCCCTCCCCTTT